ACCAAGGACTGTGGCTACATGGCCAGAGATCATGTGGCCACCAAAAGCTTTGGTGACGCAACAGGATTGCCAGTGATGGACATATCCTGAATATACAGCCAGACCACTCAAACTCCTTGCCAGAGATAAACCCAGGTGGTGCTTGTTTTGCCACAAAGTCATGTCCCTTGGAGATTTGTCATGATGATGATGATTGTTTGCAAAGTTGAAGCAGAATTTTCATTGTTTTTTTTTTTTTCTAATCACTAAATATTTTAGTACCAAATTTTAATAAATATTCATGAAACACATACAGCAATGCATCAAATTAGGAGCACAAATGCGTAGTTCTGCTCCAGGCAAGACATACTGTAGCATTAAGGAAATATTTCAGTATATATTTGCACTGCTCCTTATGTTGCTTTTGTTTGACCTGTCACTTTGTTAAAATAGTCTGAATAAAAATCAATGTCTCTTGTTCCGCACTCTTGCAAGGGGAGCAATGTTGCTCTTTGGTCAGCTTGTTATAATATATTTTGCTCTGCAGGGCAGTCAGCTCTCTTTTCACCTCTTTCTTGAACAAACAGATTTTCCTGTTTTCTTGCTACAATTCATTAGCAGGAAAGTTGATTTTCTTAGTGTTTATCTATTGACCTGAGACAAGGTGGGTGAGGTAATATCTTTGATTGGACCAACTTCTGTAGGTGAGAGAGAAAAGCTTTTGAAGTTGGTCCAGTCAACGATATTACCTCATCCACCTTGTCTGTCTAATATCCTGTGACTGACACAGCTACAGTTACACTGAATATCTATTGACTTGTTAGAGGCAAACGTCAAAGCTGCACTGCTGAAGATGGCATCCAGAAAAGCAACAGGTTTAGACAAAGTCATGGCAGAGATGATCAAAGACTTGAGAGAGATTGGTGTATGCTGGCTCAGATGAGTCCTGCGCTCAGTTTAGAAAGAGAAGAAAATGCCAAGAGAATGGAGAACGTCCATACTGGTACTGATATACAAACAAAAGGTGAGATACACGACTGTTCGAAGTACCAAGGAATTAAGTTGTCCCACTGCATGAAACGGAGAGAATCATAGATAGCCGCATTTGCCAAATAGTGGAACCTGTTTTAAGAAAGGCGTAATTTTGGTTTTAGAAAAGGAACAACAGATGGTATGTGCATTGCTAAACAAATGGTGGAAAAGAAGTTGGAGGGAAACATCGAGTACACTTTGGCTTTCCTCGATTTGGAAAAAGCATTCAACATACTACGTAGGTGACTTCTGGGACTTCTGCTATGATTCTGTGGGATAACAGAGGATCTTGTCCAGATGGTGATGGGTTTATATGATGGTTCCATGATAAGTATGGCCTCAAAATGAGTAAAAACAAAGACTGAAGTCATGTAGTTGACTTGCACAGAACCAAGACAGATGAATATTAACATTGAGGGCCAGTGCCTAAATTAGGTTTCTGGTTAAGTACCTTCATGATTTGTTAATAAAAAAATAATATAATATATGGAGATATACCTATCTCATAGAACAGGAAGGGACCCCGAAAGGTCATCAAGTCCAGCCCCCTGCCTTCACTAGCAGCACCAAGTACTGATTTTTGCCCCAAATCCCTAAGTGGCCCCCTCAAGGATTCAACTCACAACCCTGGGTTTAGCAGGCCAATGCGCAAACCACTGAGCTATCCTTCCCCCTGTTAGCAGTAATTGAGAAATTGATAGAGAACTGCAAGCAAGTCTGCTGAGTGCAGGAGACGTCTAGCGCAAGATAAGTGGGAGTGATTTATGGTAAACAGTTACCCAGGTTATTTAAGAGACAACTATACAAAACATGGTAAGTCCAACTTTTCTGTATGGATCACAGACATGGGTGACCAAAGAGAGGCACTTGAGAAGACTTAAAGCCATTGTAATGATATATTTGAGGGCAGTGAGGGGGTGACCTTTTGGGAACACATGTGGAATGATGTCATCAGGAGTGAGACCAAAGTGTGTGATATCAGAGAAGCTGTAAGGCGGAGGCTGAGACGATATAAGCATGTATGAAGTTTGCAGGGGAAGAATAAGAGGATGGCCAAGAAAATGATGGATATACTGTGTACAGAAGGGTGGAGTAGATACGAAGTATGTGAGACTCCAAATTCCTAAAATGTTTACAGTTCCTCAAATGTAGCCATTTATGCCAGTAACTTTCCTCCATGACAAGAAAGGAAATAATGAGATTTCCATATATCCTTTTATATGCATCTTCCACTGGCTGAAATCAAGCAGTGTATTAGTCTGAGGGTATGTTTATGTTACAATAAAACACTTACGGCTGGCCCGTGTCAGCAATTCTGTGGCTTGCATGGCAGTGTAGACATACCTTGAGAGTTTGTGGCTTCCCTTCATTCTGGCATTTTGCAATGCTAAACCATGCATACTCACATGTTCCTTAACTGGCTTATTACAGTGGAATTGCCTCCCAAAAAATGAAGGCAAGATTTGAAAAATAAAGGCTGTTACTTCAACTCAAGGAAAGGATGAAAAACAGATTTCAGCTACGATACAGAGATCAACAAACATGCACCAAGCTCAGTCTTGAACATGTTGGTCATCTTGGACTGGAAGTGCTATTGAGGCATCATATTTATCCCATGGGAGAAGAGAGTTTCCCATGTGGCTCTTGAGTGAATCCTCAAAGTTGGATGCAAGAGGAGCCTCTTCTAGTTTTCTTCTACAGGAAGGAATTCATCTGATCAGGAGCTTTGAAGATGTTAGTGGGGGAAGGAAAGGAGTAACATGAGGAGCTACTCTTGCTTGGATGCTCCCTGGCCAACTGGCTCATGGATCCAAGAGCTAGAGGACTACATGGGCGCTCCAGATTTTTTTTTTTTTTTTTAAACATGTTTGAGGTCCTGGTTGACAAATGCCAGCTTAGCGGCCTGTTGGATCCAACCTTGAGTGAGCCCTTTAAAAAAATCCAGCTAACTCTCCACCATGCTGCTCCAGCATTCCACTGCAGCTTCTGAGTTATAGCCTCCAGGCTTGGCTCTGAAGTCACTGGGAAGAGCACTTTGAAATATGAGGCCCCTCCAGTGCTGCATTGTTTAGCCTATTGTTATAACCTTTCTTTCACAGCTTTTGGACCTAATTTAGGACAGATATTACCAGGCTGAATCCTTAAGATCCCTCAGTACTTTATGATGATTTGATTTATTTATTTATTTATTCTGAACTTAGCTCTAAATCCTGAAGGTCTGTACTCGGTTTTCACTCGGTCTGTAGTCACGCAAGCTGTTGCTGACTGCAGTGAGACTTTGCCTGACTAAAGTCTTCAGGATCTGGCCTTTGCATTTGTTTTTTCTTAATTTGAATTTGGTTTAGGTATGCTATAATAACCTTAATGTTCTGGATTCCATTCGGGGGAGGAGGGGTAACCAGGGTATTTTGGGAGTGTATTTGTTTTTGTTTCTACTCTATTTTACAACTTAATTGTCAGTGAGATAAGGGGGTTTAGATTGTGAGCTCTCCAGGGCCTGAGTATAGCTTACTCTGTGTTTGTACTCTTTCTAGCACAATGGGGCCTTGATCTTGGTTGGGACCTCTATGTACTGCTGGCAATATAAATAAATAAACCATTTAGAAATTGTGGAGGAGAAGGCTTTCTCTCTCTTACTCTCTTTTAATTGTGTTATGTTGTTGTGTTGTGTTGTGGGGGGTTATCTCATTTGCCCATGATGACAGAAATTCATCTAGTATCCCAACAGCAAAACCATCTAGCTCACTATTCAAAGATAGATATGGGTGACGTAACAGGGTGTTCTGTCCCCTTTAAGAAATAGTGAGGATTGAGGCCAGCCAAGCCCTGACCCTTGACATGCCCCTTTAAGGTTCCAGAAGTTCTGGAGCAGATGAGGGCCTAGGAAATGGCAGAGGCAGATGCTTGGGGAAAGGAAGTGGTCTCAGGGTAAACTTTGGTGTCTGGGGAAAAACAATTATTTCCTTAAGGGTCTGGGACCATGACTTAGTAGTGTAGGGTGGAACTAGAATCCTCTCCTCTCCAATCAGGACAAGTTCTGGGAAGGAGGGCAGTATATACTCTGGATCTTCCATCATAATGCAGAGATCTTAGCAGGAGAAGGATTGTTTACCTGCTGGCCTTTTCTGACACAGGAGAGAAAGGACAGGACAGGTGGGTTGACCTGTCCTGCAGGTGGTGGAGGAAGATTTGAAGAATGTAAAAGCAGAGATGCCTGGGTAGAAAGGACAATATCATAAAGATGTTGTTTTGAGTTCTACTTTGTTTGAAATACTTTTGATGCCTGCGGCTGGAGCTGGATGAAGGTAATTTAAAGGGAACTAGCTGGGAGAGTCTGGTCGAGGGCTGCAGCCTGCCACAGGCAATATGGGGAAGTTAGAAGCTGCAAGTTTAGGCACATCTGCTAATGCTTCTCCTTCCCCTTAGTGCTAAACTAGCTTGGTTAGAAAATCTAATCAGGGAGAGAAGATGTCTGAATGTTGCCTCATAGCTTTTATTAAAGTGTGGTTCTAATCTGAAAAGTGACTACGTAGACCTGGGCCATTTTTACTCATTAGATGTGTCACCTGTGTGCATGCAGTGTCATAGCTGCTGTTGTCCTAATTTTCCTGCTGTGACTGCCAACAATATTGATGGTGACTTTTCATGTGGACACCTGTCCACTTGGAATTGGACCAAAAAACCCCTGCCTTTAAACACAGGCTGCCCAACAGACTTTGTATGATGACTTTTTTCTGCTATTAAACCTAGAGGTGAAGACGCTATGTCCAGTCTCCAGTCACCCCAGCCATTTAGTCCACCAAAATCTCTAATCATGCGGAAGAACAATGACAAAACTTTCAAGTTGTAAGGAACAATTACATAATTTTTGAATCCCTGATACAAGTACTACGCGTGTGTGTGTGTGTGTGTGTGTGTGTGTGTGTGTGTAAATGTTTTTCCAGCCTTCCCCTTGTCTGAATGATTGATTTGTTTGTTTGCTCTTGCAGCTGGCAGAGTTCCGTGAGGTGGTCTCGCATATGCTGGGCCTTAGTGTTACCAGCCTTGCACTCCCTGACTATGAAATCATCACACGTCTCGAGGGGTTGATCCATTCTCATCAGCACCATTTTGTTCCCTGTGTCTGCCTCAAAGATGTGGCAGTGAGGCAAGATGGACACTCGCAAAGCCACTTACAGCTTCTTCACTGAACAGTGCCTCTTTGAGAGACAGCCGGACAGAACTCAGCTGGCTCTTATGCTGATGTTCATTTTCAACACTGAGTCCTGAGGGGATTGTGGGTGATTTGAGCAAATATTCCTATAACCATCTCTCTCTAAATGTACATATGGAGTGAAATCATGGCCCCATTAAAGTCAAGAGAAGGTTAGCAATTGCCTTCAGTAGAGCTAGGATTTCACCCACTGTACCGGCAGTGAAACAAAATACAGAAAAGGATCCAACCTAAATTTTAATTTCTTGCACTCTAGACACAGAAGTATTTTTAATAAGCAATATTTTTAATACAGCTAATAGGTGTCTGTTTCCCTGTCCAGGAACAAACATATGTAATTCCTCCTACTCTTAATGACAGTTAACTGTACAATTTCACATAGGTTGATAAGAGGCAAGCCATATCACCCCCAATATAAAGCTTGTATGTAATCAAGGTCTATGTGGGCTATAGACCCGCCTCTGCTGCATGGTTCATACGACAGCCAGATTGTGAAAGTTCTGTTGGGCAGATAAGAGAGGTAGCTATTCAGTTACATCCCCCAACCAACACATACTTCGCTCTCATAATTGTTAGCCCCTATGCGCCCACTGTAGTTGAGCTTTAGCAGCTTAATTGGGTGGTGGAAAGCCAGAGGATATGAAGTTAGGAAGCAGCATGCTCTCCCCTTAGGGCAGTGTAAGTTGTGATGCAACACACATTGTAATTCCAACAAGTTCCCTTTTGCATAATTAACATACTGTAGAGGGATTAGGTAGGAGCATGTGGATGGCACAAAACTAGCCAATATCCATGCAGTAGTATGGGAGCCCTGGAATGGCCAAGATCGACTCACAATTATGCAATGTTCTTTCTAATGGATCTTGACTGCTACAAAAATCAAGGAGGGGAACAGACCCTCTGGCCTTTTAGTTTTTCCTTCAGCTAAGAATGATGCAGTGGAATTGAGGTTGCCCAGCTGCCACTTTCAAAATCAGAGCTCCCCTTCTGTGCATTTTTATTCATGAAGGGGTTTTAGTTTGGATAAATTTGATTGTATTTGTATGCCATAAAAGCACCACATTTTTGGCATGAAGAACTCAATTCTTCCAGTAATCTTCCTTTACTACTCAGTTGCCAAAACAAAGGTCTAAAGTTATTTTCTGTCTCTTCAATATTAATCTCTTCACACACTGTCCTGTCATTTAAATATCACAGATATTTTTGATGGGATCATGTCTTATCTTTACTTCCTGAAAAGAAAATCTGATGATGTCTTTTGTAGAGCAGCAGAAATCTTTTCTTAGCTGTTGTATTTGTCTGGCTGTTGCTTTTTAAGCAGTTCAAGTTGTAGCTCTACTTAATTAAAATTAATTAAAAATATTCTGATTCAATGAATCAAAAAGTTTAATGACAAGAAGAAACTTCATTTAAAAAAATAAAAAAAGGACTAGGTCAACATATTGCTTCACTGTTGTCCAGAAATGGCTTTTAATTTGAAGAACTGATTTTTAGTAGTGTCCCTTCAAGGTTTTATATAATTACATCATTTAAAATTTTTTTTTGAACTGTAAATCCTATTTTAATTGAGCACACAGATGTTCTTTCATTTACATAATCTCTCTCCCATTTGTACATCTCACACATGTACAAAATAGCACACAACAGGCACATGCCCTTGTAGTGAGAGAAATTCAAGCTTCCAGGAGATGGGGCATCTCAACAGACATTATTCCAATCATTGAAATTATTAATCTATATTTTAAGGAAAATGAATTATGATCTTTACAGTATTTTTTTAGAAAAACGATTTTAGCACAGGATTAGGAGGGATTACATAAGTAATGCACAATTGGCTACATGCAGTGTAGTTTTTTTTATTTTGCTTTTCTCTGAAACATCAGTTATTGGTTACTTTTGAATGAGGAATACCAAATTTGGCAGGCCAGTGGTATGATCAGGTCTGGTAAATCATATGTTCCTATAATTATTTAGTTTAACACTAATTTCCTTTCTTATTTTCTATTGTGAAATTGTTTGTTCACATGCAGGTAACAAATATTCACAAATAAAAAGGAAAAACCCTAATATTAACAAATATAAAATAAAACTTGAAATATAGGCACCTCTTTCATTGAAAATAACAGATTACAGGTTAACATTTTATTGGTCAAACTGAACTGCTTGGGCTGTGTAGGTAGGAAGAGGATGTACAGATATACTAATTCTCAGATGAGGTTGATGATAGTTTCAGCCTGTGCTTTTGTTTGTTCCATAATTACATAGGTGGACGGAGTCTTTGCCAGCTAGTGTAAAGCCCTGTCAATTGTTGTTTCTTACATAGACACTTTTAAAATACTGAAACATGCTTTATAAACCATAAATTAAACAAACTAAATAAGAAATTAGTGTCTGATCATACTAGGTGTTGAATGTACTCCTAGTAGGAGTTGAGTGCACTGGACAACTTTCAGAACTAGTCCCTCAAAACACCCCTAAGAGATATGTATTTTTAGTTCTGTTTTACAGATGGGGAAACTGAGGCAGATAAATTAGATGACTTGCTAAAGGCCACAAAAGGATTCAGTGTCTGTCAAGATTAGAGCATGGAAGTGCTTGGGTGCTCAAACCAAGAGGCCAAGGGAGAAATTCTGGCCCCTTTGAAGTCAGTAGCAAAACCCCTGGTGACGTCAATGGAGGCAGGATTTCATCTCAAGTCCAAAGAAAGGTTTAGTCTAGTCTCTTGTGTTTTGAGCCCAAGACTAGCAGAATCAGGAACTTCTGAGTTCTAATTTGTCTCTGACTTTGTTGCCAAATAAGACACATCATGTACAATTTTTAAATTGTTCTAAATGCAGACATAGTACATCAGTGAATATATCCCTTATTCTAAATATTTGCTTTTCTTCTGGAAGAGTTACTGGCATCTTTGCTCATTTAGCTAAAGCAAATAAAAAAATAAATAAAGCAGTAGTTTGACATGAACAAAGTTCAGAGTGATTTTTTTAACCATGCAGTTTAATTAACCCCTGAACAAAGTTTAAGCGAACTTGTAATCTTCTATTGGGCTTTGTTTCATGTAAAGTTGAGAACTTCAGACTCATTATTTTTCACAAGGAAAACTGATTTAGTTAAAATTCTCTTTGAATCTTTCATTTTCAGATCAGGATGCAGCAACCTAAATCCAAATTAATTAAAACCTTCCCCAAAATATGTTTTAAGATTGAAAAGGCTTGGAATACTATGCGCTAACCATTACTCATATGAGTAGAGCATTGTTTTCACTGGCTTGCTTCTGTGAGTAAGAATTAAAAGAGTAAGAGTTTGCAGAATCAGCCACCCTATTTCTTTATAGGGATTACCCTTTCACTATAGTAGAGGATTATATTAGGTACAAAATATATATATAAAATATTGAAATGCATTTGCTTATAATGTGAAAATTTTGCTCTCAATTACAATGGTAAATCTGGAGTAATTCCACTGAAGGCAGTGGTGTTACTCAGATTTGCAGTGGTAAACAGAGCAGAATTTGGCTCCACTTGTTTACAATTTTCAAGGTAACCAGTGAAATTAAATAAATAAATTGCCCATAACTCGTTGAATTTTAATCTTTCTCTCTGCTTATCTTTCTTTGAACAAATTGTCTCTTACAGCATTTGTACTGGATAAAATACAATATTGTATCATGTGTGCCACAAAATTTCTGATAAAGCATTGTTTTAAAAAAAGAAGTGATCTTGAGTTAATTTTTGTACTTGATAAACTTGTCACTACTATGTTTTGAAAACAGAGAAATTATGCAATAGGGCCTTGATTCAGCAAAGCACTTAAGCAAGCTGAAATGCTTTACTGAGTTTGAGCCTAGAAGATGAGATCCCCATGAATAAGTGCTCTACCTGGTGGAGATTTTTTTTTTTTTTTAACTTTGAGAACATGAGCCATTGACATTTCTTCAAAAACAGGGGGACCAATGGTACTCACGTGAACTGGTCAGTTATTTTATAATTTTGAAGAAAAAACAAACGAGGGGACCCAAAGCTTATAAAATGTTGACAAAGAAAATCTTGAGTATACTTCCAGAAAGATAGAGAAGTTCTGGAGCAAAGCTACTGTAAATGCTGTTTTCACCAAAACTCTTTGATAGTAAAATGTTTTCTGTGCTAGAAATAGTAGAATAGACTATCAAAGGAAGAGAAAGAGACTCTTTGAATAGGAGAAAGTATCATGAAATTAGAGAAAAAGATTATGTACTGGTAGGATTGGAACACACAAAACCAAATGAAAGAACAGGTTTAGAAGCTGGATAACTGGCTTGGTAGGAGAGGGAGCTGTGACACTGAACCCCATATTCTTCACAGTAATATTATTATGATATGATTATGACATAATTGTAATGCATTTTATGCAAGGTAAGTCTTGTGAGGTGTCACTGGAAAAGTTATGATTTGCTGAATATGATTATCCTATTTGTGTGCATGTATCATTTTTGTATCGGAAGTTATGAATATTGATTATGTAGCTGTATTTCAAATGTAGTTACACCTGGGTAACGCCCACTAGACGAGATGCTTTCAGTCTAAATAGTGGGTGGAGAAGGGCCTATTCTGGGCAATGGGCCATTAGGAAAAAACAGTAGGCCTTCTGAGAAACTAGGGTTACCATTCGTCCGGATTCCCCCGGACATGTCCAACTTTTTGAGCTAAAATTAGCGTCCGGGGGGAATTTGTAAATGTCCGGACTTCCCCCCACTCCCCATGCAGAGCGCGCGCGCGGCTAACAGGGCAGCTGTGGCCGGATGGTGCCACTTACATGGGGCTCGGACAGCCAGAGAGAGCCCCTCCTGCCCCCTGCAGGAGAGATCACTCCCTCCCTCCCTCCCTGCATTCGCAGATCGCCTCCGGCAGTCTGGAGCTCCTCCCCCGCTGCCCAGCGTGCTGGGACGAACGGCTCAGGCCGTTCCTGAGCAAGCTCACAGAGACATTAGGCGAAGGCCAACAACAAGGGGGCCAGGGGGTCGGAGAAGGGGCAGGGAGGTTTTGGAGGGGGCAGTCAAGAGACGGGGGGGTCGGGAGTTCGGGGGGGGGGCTTTCTGAGGTGGGTGGATAAGGTTTGGGGCAGTCAGGGTACAGGTAGGGGGTAGGGTCCTGGGGGGCAGTTAGGGTGGGGGTGTCTTAGGAGGGGGCAGTTAGGGGACAAGGAACAGGGAGGCTTAGGTGGGGGGTGGGGTTCTGGAGGGCAGTTAGGAGCAGGGGTCCCAGGAGGGGGCAGTCAGGGGACAAGGAGCGGGGGGGGGGTTTGGGAGTTCTGGGGGCGGGGCTGTCAGGGGGCAGGAGTGGGGAGAGGGATCGGAGCAGTCAGGGGACAGGGAGGAGAGGGGTTTAGATGGGTTGGGAGTTCTGGGGGGGGGCTGTCAGGGGGTGGGGAGTGGTTGGATGGGGCGTGGGAGTCCCAGGGGTCTGTCTGAGGGTGGGGGTGTGGATAAGGGTTGGAGCAGTCAGGGTACAGGTAGGGGGTGGATCCTAGGGGGCCAGTTAGGATGGGGGGAGGGTCTCAGGAGGGGGCAGTCAGGGGACAAGAAGCAGGGAGGCTTAGGTAGGGGGTGGAATCCTGGGGGGCAGTTAGGGGCAGGGGTCCCAGGAGGGGGCAGTCAGGGGACAAGGAGCGGGGGGGAGGGTTGGGAGTTCTGAGGGGGGGGAAGTGGGAGGGACGGGGACGGGGCTAGGGCGGGGCTCCTCCCATCCTCTTTTTTGCTTGCTGAAATATGGTAACCCTAGAGAAACTTATCTCCCACCTGAGAACACTACAGACAGCTGCCCCGTAATGGCTGCTATGACTCTACAAGGACATGAAATCAGACCACATGATGCTGGACTCCATCTTGAGATGTCAGTATTTTTCTACAGACTGGTCTGGGAACCAAGCTTTGAAACAAAGGGTTTCTGCCATATGCAAAAGCTATATAAGGCAGGGAGTGACATCATCTGGTGTTCTTCACGCCCCACCCAAGAAGACTCCTGGAAACACCTGAGGAACAAAGACTGAACTGGGGGAAGTGTTGGACCCAGGCTAAAGGGATTTTAGCCTATGAATGGAACACCTGGGGATTCCAAACTATAAGCAAGCGCAGCTTGCCCTTAAGAATCTGTAGCCTGCTTGTATCATCTCTTAGAGTGAGAATCTGCCAATTCATATCCAATCTATTTAGTATATTAAGCTTGGTTTGCATTTTTTGTTTATTTGCTAGGTAATCTGCTTTGATCTGTTTTCTATCACTTATAGTCACTTAAAATCTATCTTTTGTAGTTAATGAGCTTGTTTTTGCTTTATCGAAACCAGTGAAGTGTATGGGCAAAAGCCGGTGCATATTCCTCTCCACATTGAGGGAGGGGGCGAATTTTATGAGCTTGCGCTGTACAGTTCCCTGTGCAGCGCAAGATGGTATAATTTTGGGTTTATACTCTAGTGGGGGGTGGGAGTCTGGAAAGCTAGGAAATTGTCAGCTGTCTGCTGCATGTATTTGAGTGGCTTGGGTGCAGCTGCTCTCGCAGGTAG